TCTCCCTGAGGCCTGCTTTCTCTTCCCTTTCCCCTCCCTACACTTCTCAGCCCTCTACCTTCCTATTCACATTTTTCTGTCCTCCTGCTTCATCTCTCTCCACAGCAAATCAATTGTGCTGCCTCTAGGATCCATTCAATCATAAGATGTTACTCCAGATGCCCATCACACTGGGGAGTTGGGAAAAGTACATTTTAAGAGGACACCTGTGTGTGAGACCCTGGGTTTGATCCCCAGCCCTGAAAATAAAAAAGTAGACCTTGATTGGTGGGATTGAGAGGTGGCGCCAGGAAAACTACTTTAGAAAATAGACAATCCAGGTAATTCACACAGAACAACATATATTTTAAAATGTAAGAAAATATTAATTTACTTACTAGTATTACTCTTGGGAATTAATTTTAAGGAAATAATTCTAAAAAGGAATAGAGCTATAAGCCTAGAGGTATTTATGTCATCATGTTAAACGCAAAATAGCAAACAAAACAAAACAAAACCAGCTCCAAACTGTTAACAGCCTCGATGTTCAGTGTGGCTGTGGAATTCATGATACTTTAAGGCCGAGGTATATTGTGCTGATGTTACATTAATGATGTGAATTCATGGGAAAAATTTGAATTTTGGTGAAAATAAGTAAAACACAAAATTGCCTATGTATACATTGGATGAGTGCATACATACTGGGTACATGGGCAGTATTAAATTAACATAATGTAAATATTGGTTTTAGGTGAATAAGTTATTGCATGTTTGAAATTACTTCATATATATAATATATTATAATATATATTATAATATATATATAATCCATACTTTTTCTTTTTTAAAGACAAAGCCTTAACATCACAGTCTTTGGATCTGGGTGGGAAGGAGGCCCAGGGAGGGACCCCAAGCCTCCCATCTGTTAGCACCAGGAAGCTGGAGCTGCTCTGTCTTATCAGCCAGCCTTGCTGCATGCAGGGGCTGGAGGATTCAGATTGGCCTGGCTGCACAGGCTGGCCAACCATATAACCTCGGGGTTCACCGCATGGACTCTGCCTCCTACGCAGGGGCTGGCAACCCCAGGTGGCCTCAGAGCCCCAGAAGATTGTTCACACCTGGGTTTCCAGGGAACCAGCTGGGTGAGCATGTAACCCTTGAGGCTCTGAGCCACCCACTCACTGTGGCCCTAGCCACAGCGGGAGGGAGCTGATTCTCTCTTCTGCAGTTCCCAACAGGCAGCAGGAGGGTGTGTGTGCTTTGCAAGCTGACCTCCTGCAGCCAGCCTCACCCAGGTGGGGCCCCAGTGAGGTAGTGTCTTGGGTGTTTCCATTCTTGCACACATTTCAATATTGAGTTGCTCTTCAGTGCGAGCCTCTTGAAGTCCCACATTCATCCCACCCACCTCTGGCTTAACAGGCAGGGCCTCTGACTCCCCATCTTACCATGAGCTCTTCTGGGACATGCAGCTGCAAATGGCCCTGAGGCTATGCAGCCAGTCTTCTTCTGACCTATCAGCTGTGGTATCTCTAAACTTCAGGTGCCTAGTGAATGGTCTTCTCACTCATCACTCCCCCTTGTGTTGGCCTCTTGTGCACAGCCTTTGCTTCAGAATAGGGAAATTTCTTGGCTTATGAAGTCTTGCTCAGCCTTTCCCTGAGTCCAGCCTGGGAGTGTGACCAGGACAGGAAATGGAGATTCCTTGGTGTTGTTTGGAGTCCTGAGGTGGTTGGGGATTGGACAGCCCTGGGCATAATTTGAGTGGGCAGGTTGGAGCTTGCTAGAACAGAGGCCACTACAACAGAATGCATGTGAAGGGAACTAGGCCCAACTGGGGCCCTGGTTACCTCTAAAACATTATCTGCTAAAACCAAATTCTAGGACTGTAAAGATTCGGAGTTTTTTCATTTTGTGATCAGACTGAAATAGAACCTGTGGCTGGAGGTTTGTCAGGGTCAGAGAGGAACTGGAAAGAGCAGGGGCTTAGGGCTGGCTAGGATGCTCGTGAAGGGTACCCAGACCTGTTTCACATCTTCTAGGACAAGTAGTGCTTGTGTGTGTGTTTGGCGTAGGAGAGGCAGTGATCCATAGGCTTCCCTAATATGTCACGTTCAGTCCTAGATATCCTGGCCCCAGTCTCATCCTCCAGTGCATCTAGCTCAGTACCCATCATTGCTGATGGCTGGAAATATTAACTGCCACAGAATCTAAGTAACAGGGTGTCTTCCTGAGTTTAGGGCCCAGTTTGTCTCAGTTCCCTAATTTAGAGACCACGTGTGTGCCCTAGGGTTGTCAGCAGCTCAATTTCTTTTTTGAAGCTTAAAACACATTTCCATAGAAACAATGCTATAAATGGTGGTTGGGTTCCTAGGCTAGCCCACAAAGAGCCCTGGTACCACCTCAGAAGCTGCTGAAATATGATATTAGTAAAATTGAGAGCGCAAAGGCAGCAGTAAGAGTTAGCACCAGGATGTTAGAGGTTAAATGGTGTGGGTTTATTTGGGTAACTTTGTTTTCTTCTGTGAGAGGTGTCTTTCAAAGTTCTAGAGGCCTTTCTCCTGTCTAGTCATAACCCATCCTCTTCCAATTTGCATTCCTTCCCCGTCCTCATCATGGGGCCAAGGGCCTGGGTCTTCCTGCCCCTGGGACTGTGCCCTGAGCTATTTTTATGACGGTGAAGTCCTTTTCAGTGGCCCTTGTCATGATCATGATAATCATGGTTATCCTAGTCCTTATTGTTATTTAAACTATCTTTATCAACTTAACAGAATAAACATTGCACTCTAACAATTTATACTGCTTAGAATTCTCTTCTGATTGCTTCTAAAGGTCCCTGTGAAAGTGTTAACATAAAACTTTGTAAGTCCCCCTCAACATATTTCTTTGTGCTGATTTTGTCACTTCACATGATTTCATCAAGTAGTTTCTTTGGATTGGTCCATTTATTGAGCTCATTCATATTTTGCTCCATTACCCTATCATACCATACAAGAATCTGCAGGGATTTCATTTTTTTTTTTTTTTTTTTGGTTCTATATACAGGCACTACTCTTGTGGTGGTATTTTAGATTATTTTCACTGTAATTACGTGGTCAGAGCCTTAGACTGTGGCAACACAATGCCAAATCACATTCTAGAAAGATTTAAACAGTTTATGGTAGCACAGTAACGTATGTGCAGCTGTTCCCCCATAACCTTGCCAACGGCTGCATTCTTGTCTTATTTATTTACTTATTTTCACGTTGACTGGGGCCATAATGGGACCTTAATGGTGTTCTAATTTGCATATCCTAAATTGCTGCTGAGACTGTACATTTTTCCTCTTGATGATTTGCTGTTTGTGTTTCCTCATGTGTCAAACCCTGCTCATCTCCTGCAACTGGGGAGCCTCCTTTTTACATTTATCTCTGTGAACCACTTTCCTGCTGGGAAACAGAATCCTTCCTCCTTTCCTCCCTCTCTGCTGCCAGTCTGCGCCACCCCCATCCCCACCCCCCTTCTCTGGTTCACCACCCCAGCAACTCTAGCCCTCAGCCCTCTGACTACTAGGGGTATGAGTGACAGATACTAGGGATCCCTGGAATGGGAGCTGAAGGGTAGGCGGTTGAAGGGAGGCAGGAGGCTTGTCTGTATGGTTCTTGGGGTGTGTGTGTGTGTGTGTCATAAAGTGATCTCCTTGGAGGGAGCTGCTCTGAGAGAGTCTGGGGAAGACCTGCAGGCTGCTAGAGCTGGAGAGAGCACTGGAGTTCATCTAGTCTAGGGGGCTTGCACAAGTGTGATGATAAATGACAGTGACCCATGGCCTAGGAAGGGGTGGGACCAACAGAAAACTGGAATGTATGAGTTGCAGCCAAGCACCATTCCTCTTGCAGAAGGAAGGCTCACTGTGGCCTGTGTTCTATTTTTTTTTTCATGATGAACCAGAAATTCTGAGTTTTAAAATGTTTAAAAAGTTTAAGTCTTCTGATTAAAAAAAAAAGTTGGTAATAAATTCAATCAAAATAAAACATAATATATGGGTGGAAAAAATACACCCATGAGGGAAAATGGCTTGTCAGGCTGCAGTCTATGACCCCTCATTTTATTTAACTTCCTTATTGGGGAAACAGGCCCAGAGAGATATTCTCTGTCATATCGTAGAGAGAGAGAATCAGGGTCCAAGGGTTGATTTCCATCTGTATGACCTTGGGAGAGCCATTTAACCTTTTTGAACCTCAGCTTCCTTATCTATAAAATGGGGATAATGGCTTCCTCCCAGGGTGCTGAGTGGATCCAGTGGGCCTGCATTGTGTCAAGCGTGTAGCAGAAGCTTGACAGAAGTTACATAGGTCCTATGTAGGGTCATCCAGAAAATTAGAGGAAGAACCAGGTTTAGAACTTTGCTCACATGATTCTCAATCCAGAGGTTATTCTACATAGACCTGCTTTCATGGGCATTTCTAGAGGTCATTTTGTGAAAATTTCAGGGCTACTAAGCTCAGATACAGCTCTGAGGACTTGGCACTGTAGGCCACAGAACCAGGAGACCAAGTGTCAGTTGTAATAAGAATAATAACACCATACACCATTGAACCCAAGAAGCCATTGATTATAATATGCACCATTATTTTATGTACTGCTAAGAAAGAGAAAATTTTGCTAATTAAGCCATACATGCAAGCTGGGTGTGGTGGCACACTCCTGTAGTCCTAGCTATTTGGGAGGCCGAGGCAGGAGGATCACTTGAACCCAGAACTTCAAAGTCAAGCTGAGCATCATAGTGAGACCCCATCTCTCTCTCTCTCCTCTCTCTCTCTCTGTCTCACACACACACAACACTCTCTCTCTCTCTCTCACACACACACACACCAAAAAAAAAAAAAAAGAAAGAAAAAATCATATGCTGTCAATTTGAAGAAGCATCCTGATTTCTGAGATATTAGAGTGGGAAAATACCTTTTTGAATCAATGAAATAGAATAGGAATAAAAGTAATAATGATATGTTATATTTTATTATTTAAAAATTTCATATATACTGTTTCATTCATGCATTTATCACAAGCATCACCACAGATAGCAAGGGGAGGAAGATCTAGGCTGTGCCCTTGAGGACCTCTGATCCTGGACCATAGGGCGCTCACCCCCAAGATGGTACAGGAAGCAGAGCAGAATAATATGTAGGCAATGGAGTAAAGATAACCAGGATGCCATGGGAGTTTAGGGGAGAGAGTGACTCTTCTGATCCTTAGGAGCAGAGGCCAAGAAGGTGTTTGGATTCCAGGGTTTATTTAGGAAGAGCCCTCAGTAGGAAGAAGGCAGTGTAGACAGGAAGAGCAGTTAAGCAAGGAAGGATGTGTTGCTGGAGCTCACAGGGAGTCCCACAGCAGGAACTACCCAGCACAGAATTGGTCCCACCAGAGGCTTCTTTGGAGGACAACTGTGTGCTCACAGTTGCTGGGGGATGAGACATCAGCCTGATAAAGGGGATCCGGGAGAGCTCCAACAGGATATACTCCAGCAGTCTTCCTCCGCTTGGAGTCAAGGAAGGATTCCTGGAAGAACTGCTGTGACGCGCCAGTCTGCTCCGAGACCTGGGTGTGGGTTTAACTGCAGGTCAAGGAAGAGGGAGGCGGAGTATGAGTGTGAGGAGTAAGAAAGCGAGAAAGCAAGTGTCTTGGGGAACTTCAGGTTCTTTGGCAGTGGTCAGGATGGGGCTGGGGCAGAGCTGGGTGTTGTGTTAACAGTCTGGCTACAGACCCAGCTTTACGCAGGAGCTAAGGGGAAGAGGAGCACTCTGAGGGCAGTCTGGATGTAAATAAGACTAGAAGCAAGGAGATCAGTTAGGAGATGGGGAAAAAAAATTATAGTCAACACCTATCAAAGATTTAATGTGTACCAGACACTTGTAAGTTCTTACCATCTTCATTTTGCAGATGTGAAAACTAAGTGATTAAGTACCTTGCTTCAAGTCACGAGGTTAGTATGAGCCAAATTCAGGTCTTAACCTATGCTTTTAACCTGCACGCTCCCTTGAAGATGAATTTTAGATTCTAGTCTACCACTTATCAGTATTTTTTTTTTTAATTTAAAAATGATGCTTTAGGACTGGGGTTGTGGCTCAGCAGGAGGTAGAGCACTTGCCTAGCACGTGTGAGGCCCTGGGTTTGATCCTCAGCACCACATATAAATAAATAACATAAACATATTGTGTCCAACTACAACTAAAAGATAAATACTTTTAAAAAAAACTTTTAAAAATAATACTTGAAAGCATGCCCCATGGCACTCATTTTATCTCTGGGGATCCCATTTCTCCTGGACCACTGCCACAAAATAGGGAAGCCAGGCACCAGAGGACAGTCAGTGAGGGTCCAGGGCTCCTTCTGCAGGGAATGTGGGACTGTGCTGAAGTCAAGGCTCAGGGAAGCTGGCAGCTCTCCCTCTGTGAAGAAGAGTGTTTCTGTTCGGTGCCCTCCCTGGCAGTCACACCTGTTTTGTCCTTCTCCCTACACCAAGCCAGACGTCTCTCCCAGAGTGACAGCAGCAACTGGGAACATCTACAGAAGTTCCCTCTCAGGGCTGACAAAGGCACTCAGAACCTGGCCCAGGCCTGTAGGGGAAGGAGGCCAGGGAGGGGCAGGTGGGAGGGTCGAGAGATGCAGACAGCTGTGGGCTGGTGTGGCAGGCATGGCCCTGCCCCAGAACAGGTGAAGTAAGTGTGAGCTGAGAGGGGGTCCTCTGGGGTTTCAAGGGTATTAGAGAGTACAGTGACATCTCAATATACAGTGGCTTAACTTAGTGCCTGGGGTGGTTTTGAGCTCTCTGCTTCCCTCAAAGGACCAGGTAAGAAGGGTGAGGAGGTGCTGGGGTTGTATCTCAGTGGTAGAGCATTAGCATGCAGCAGGCGCTGGGTTCGATCCCTAGCACCACCTAAAAATAAATAAATAAAAGAAAGGTATTGTGTGTATCTACAGCTAAAAAAAATATTTTTTAAAAAAAGAAAGAAGGGGTGAGGGGAAGGTACAGCCGTCAGAGTGGTGACAGCACTGTGGGAAAGAGTGGTGGAAAGGACACGAAGGGTGGCCTTGGAGGAATACCTCAAACGGGACACTGAATAAATGCTGGAAAACGTTTCCCTGGGCAGATCCCAACAGAGGTTCCTAACAGAGGTATCACTCAGTGGGGTCTTTTCAGGAGGAAAAAAAAATCTTGCCTGGAAAGGGAGAAGCTTTTTTGGGAGAAGGAACTTTAGGGTAAAATAGTTAAGAATAACAGGTATAAGCCCTTATGCTTACATAGCATGCTGCAGTTGTAAAACACTCTTTTGTCCAGTTGATCCTTTCAGGCCCCTTGAACTTGGGCACTCTTTCCTTGTTCATGCAACCAACATGGCACATCTATTGGGAGCCAAAAAAAAAAGTGAAGCTCAGAGAAGGTTTAGCGGCAACTTTCCTAAGATCATGCAATAGGTTTATTTTAGTTAGACAAGACCCAACCTCAGTCCTGGTTCCTTATTATTTTTACAACTTTCTCTTTCTTCGGTTATAACCGTAGGCAATGACGTCCTGGAGGTAGGACCTTTATTCTGCAAAGGGAATTGACAGTAGGAACACAATATGAAACCTGGCATTTTGTGATGCCCTCAACAGTATTTGTTCCCCTGATTCCTCACACTCTAAAGTTTAAGCACTTACCACACTACATGTGGTGGCCTAGATGGAAAGATCCTAGCAGAGAAGGGACAGTGGAAAAAGGCATGCAGGCCTGGGGCAGGTCAGGGTGGTGTTGAGATCCTGGCTTCCTTGGAAGCTTTTATTTTTCAACAGCTTTATTGAGATATAATTGATATACCATAAAATTTACCTTTGGAAGATTTTAATGGTCTGGACATAGGGGAGGACTATGCAGCGCAGTGCTGGGCCACTCCAAACAGAATCCAGAGCAGAGAGCCAATGCGATGCTAGGAAGCCTCTGAAATAAAACTCTACCCTCACTGGAACCTGGAGTTTGAAAACTTGTCCAAGGTCCTTTGCTTCCTGGAGTGTTTCTTTCTCAACAATTACCTCCCAGGAACTGGAGCTCAGTACTCCTCTCTTTCCCGTGCTGTGTGAAGAAGGGGTGCTGTGTGAAGAAGGGGGACGGTAGGGAAAATATCACTCTATGGGTAAAGTCTAAAGAAGACCTCCCCACCCCCAACCTCAAAAGGTCACCTTCTTAGTTGTCCCAGAGGCTTGAAGGAGGTGCTAGGGCTTTTAAAACCAAAACTTTCACTTCACATGTCAGTGATTCTGCATTGTCATATCTGCAGCAAGACTGACCTGCAGGTCTTTCCCGGAAAGGCCGCAGCTTTCTTTGCACACCCTCTTCTGCCTTCTGTGGCTATAGACTTCTCCTCCTGCCAAGCAGGGAATAGTCTCTGAGTCCTCCTTTCCTGAGCATCCATGTGCCCCCTTTCCTCTCTCTGAGATGGCCCAAATTTGGAAGTTTAGTCTGAACGAAAGGTTGTGCTGCGCCAAGATGAGCAGGGTTCCTTCAGGGTAACTGACTTTTCAGTATCTCTTGCGTCCACTCCCCATGCTGTTCCTGGATCAGGCAGCCCAGTGTGGGACAGGGAGGAAGTCCTTGCAGGACAGAGCTGGGGAGTGTCCTTTGGAGTGGCTCCCACTTCTTTCCTGGAGGCTGGGCCCTGGCGCATCATGGAGGCTCTTCTAAGAATGTGCTCCCAGCTGGGTTTTCTTGTTAGTTGGGAATGTCCCTGGGCTGGTCTACGCTTGCGCTCTGGGGCTTCCTCTGGGCTGGCCCCAAGCCAGTTGCAGGGGTGGGCCCTCAGGGGAGGTCAGGATGGCTGCAGTTCTGCAGAAGAACCTGGCAGCAGCGGGCATTGGAGGCCAAGAGGTTTGGCTTTTGTTTCCTTCACTTGGATGAGTTGCCAGTGGGAGGGAAGAAACTGGCAAATAGAAAGAGCAAAAAGGCTTTTTACACTGAGTTTCTGAGAGTCTATCCTCTACTAGGGGTAAGGCCAGGCTACATGCCTGAGCACCTTAGTCCCTTGATTGTTTGCTATCTTACTCTGTGGGAGATTGGAAGAAGAGCAGAGAAGTGACAGATAACTGGCTTGCCTTGTGACCTCGTGCAATGCACATAACCTTTCTGAACCTGAGTCCTCATGCACAGAATAAGAGGGATACAGCTCTCTCACACACAGCCTTGTTCAGTAGGCTGTATGGGAAATGCTGTGAGACTTGTCAGGAGCAATACAGTCATCTTGGATGCTAAATCTGGGAGCTTGGGCTTTTTTCTGTAGAAGGTGGTTTCCCTGGCTCCTCCATTCACTTTTTACAAATGTAGAAAGATGGATCTTAAATTTGATGGCATTTTAAGAGGTCATCGGATCTAGTCCCTTGGCATAATTACTGGTATTTTGTAGATAAGATTATTTTAAGTGGTCATTACTTTGACATATCTGTCATAATATGGGACAAATAAGCCCTTTTCCTCTGAGTGAGGTGTGACTTCCTGGTGCATAACAGGTAAGCCAGCCAGCAAAGCTGTAGAAGAGGAGGGAGAGACCTAGGAGACTTAGGAGCTAAGTGTAGTTTTGCAGGGTTTCTAAGTAGAAGGTCCTCATGTTGGCATCCACTCCTTAGGAGGGGTGGGAGGTATGGGAGTGTGGGGGATGGGGAGTGTGAAAGTCCTGTAGGCTCAGGGCGTATGAGAGAATCATATTCTGCTCTTCTAAGAAGACAAGGGATGCATCAGACTCTTAGGATGGGCCACAGGGAAAAGTAACTACCAAAACAGTATATTCATTCTTCGATGGTTTTTCCTTCAAAGGAAATTCTCTTTTTGACTCATCTCCTTAAAAGAATAACAAAACACCAAAATCATGGAAGGAAAAACAGAGCACTTTCCCCTGAGTTTCCTCTGGCCCTGCAAGACCTCCTGCTCGGTTGCAGTTGTTTCCCATCTTCCCTCCAGTCAGGCAAACAAGCAACAGGACTTGGACCAGAAAATTTTATCAGGGGGATATTTAGAGAAGGCAGGGAGAAATGTGCGCCTGGAGAGAAAAGTTTCCCAACCTGGCCTAGAATTCAACCCAGGAGCTTTTCATCACCTAAGTAATGGCCTTGTGGGTCCTTCGTGGGGCCTATTTCTCCATAACCCTGATACCATTGGGAGGCTGGTGGATGCCGGTGGGCCAGAAAGTGACACTCAGGGAGGCTGTTAATGAAGTGTCTTGGAGAGGACTGTGCACCATTTACCGTATCCAAAGCCAGAGTTTTCTTTTGTGGAAGAAAGCGACTTGTGCCCTCCCCAACATCACACACAGTTTCCTGGCAGGCTTGATGGGTTTCCAAACATTTCGTCACCGTCTCTTCCTGACCTTGGTGTGCAAGGAACGAGCCGCGTGGCCTGTTAGTTCCAGCTAAGCCATCGGGGGCGCCGGCCTGAGATGGGGGAGGGTGGCGACCGACTCCGGAGTGGAGGTGAGGTCTGCTGGAAATCCCCAGCCCGGGCAGCCGCCGGAGGTTTAAAGACGCCTTCCTCGGCCTTATTTGGTCGCAGGAAGTGGGCGGCGCTGGGCCTGCTGGCGGAGAGGCTGCCCGGAGACAGTTGTGCTGATGAAGTGGTAGAGCTGGTTCCTGCTCGCCGCGGTGCGGCGCGCGCCGGCCGGCCGCTGGGCGCTCAGCGCTCCCAGCCTCGAGTTGTGCAATCCTTTGTAGCACGCCAGAGTCCTCCTTCGCTGTTGCCTCTCGCCCTCTCTCTCTCTCTCTCTTTTTTTCAAGCTGTGAGCTCAACCGATGAGTCAGAGCCGTGCAATCCTGACACTGCATCGCAGGACTGGGGGTGACACAGAGGGAGGGAAGAGCGCTCGCGAGGTGGACAGTACCGGCGCGGGGCGCGCCGAGGTTCCTGCGCCGCAAGCGGGGGGTGACAGCCCACGCGTCCCGCCCGGGCCCTGCCAGCAAACTTCCCAGCTTTGGGAGGCGCTGGCTGGTGGAAGACCTGCGAATACCGCGGGGAGGCGACGGCGCCTGTTTGTTTTTAAAATCGGTGAGTGCGTGCAAGCGGCCGGAGTCCAGGAGGCGACCGAAGGCTGCGGCCCGCGGCGGAAGGGGGACAGCAGAGGCCCGAGCTCAGGCAGGAGCGGGGTAAGTGGGCTACACAGCAGGCGGCCGAGGCCTGCACGCGGCGGGGGCAGCTAGGAGACCCTGGCGGCGCGCAAACGGTGGCTACTCGCTCCACGGGCTGCAGCTCTGCAGGCGCGGCCCG